ACTGTAGTACAGTACAGTGAAATTGACCGCCCCAAATCAACTAAAGGTCACTATAGGCCATCAGTGCCAGCACCGTATTTTTACGATAGCCGTAAAATGCTGAAGCCCGGCGAGAGTAAAGTCAAACTGGTTGAATTGCCAAGTAAGTTACTAAAATATAAATCAGATAATAATTTTGTTTTCAATATTATTTTTTATAGTGAAAATTATTGAGTGATTTTATTATTAATAAAAAATAATTGACACAAAATTAGATTCCTAAATTAATCAAACCAGTGCTTAAAATTTCAGAAAATATAGAAAACTTTGCTGCTGTATGCATTTGTTTTAATTTGCATATTAATATTGTTTCATTATGTGGAATCATTTGTGTGATTTAAATACAGCAATCAGGGTTCTATTTATAAATTATCTGAAAATCATTTTTGACTCCCGTGTGCGAAACACAAAAAGGGAGTCTTTGCAGTTAGTGTGTCTGTCTGTGTGTCTGTGTGTGTGTCTGTGTGTGTGTGTGTGTGTGTCTGTTCCACTGATATCTCAAGAACCATACATTGATTTTTGATGAAACTTGGTGCATATATGCTCTGGGCCAATGCGCAGATTTGATTAGGTTTTGGTAAAAATCCATGAATATTAATTACCTAATTTGCATGATAATAAGCTGATTTTTAGCTGTTCTATGACTTTTCCACTGATATCTAAAGAACCACTCGTTGGATTTTGATGAAACTTGGCACATAGATGCTCCAAGCTAATGCGCAGATTTGATTAGTTTTGGGTAAAAATCTGCAATATTAATTACCTAATTTGCATAATGATTAATCAATTTTCGGCTTTTCCACTGATATCTCAATTACTAATCATCACATTTCAATGAAACTTGGTACATAGATGTCATAGGACACTGCACAGACCTGATAGTTTTTAGGGTAATATCAGTACATATTAATTACCTAATTTGCATAATTAATTAATTTTCAGCTTTTAATATTTCAAGTAGTAATTGTCACATTT